TGGTAAATGAGTATTTGACAGTCAATGAGCCTAAATGAAGACCTCTTTAATAGCACTGGGGAAGCACTATATACTTTAAGGTACAGCTCCCTATGTTTCAAAAAGGCTATGGGTGTGAGGAGTAAGATTCCAGAGATGGTGTAAGACCAGGCAGATTGAACTAATGCATTATTAGCTCAAAACATCATAATGTACGTGCAAAAATGAGTTCTACTTAAGCAGGCAGTTTTCCTCTCATTGCAAATATCTAACTTCTGTGAACCTCATTAGGAGCTGGTGGCATGAAATAAAAGGAGAATAAAACTCAATATTTAATAATTGCATACCAACTCTAAATGTATTAGAAAATATTGAAAAATGTTCACTAGGTCCTAAGCAAGAACCACTTAGAGCTTGTCATGATGGGACATTAGTGTGCAGCAAGCCGGGGTGCAAACTGATAGTGCACTAACATGCCCTATACTAGCTGAGATGCATGGTTCCTCTATGGTGCACTAAAAGTTCCTTAACGCACTTTGAGCTACTCCTGTTTGGTCAGCGTGCACGAGGGAATTATTTGCGTGTGGTGGGGTGCCGACATGACCAGTTAGTGCATGGCAGGTTAGTGCACTGTAGATTTATGCTACAACTTGCTGCACACTAAATTGCCATCTAGCAAAGCCCTCAGTGTCCCATAGCTATTATGGTAAGTTATAAATAGCGTGTTGTCTCTTAAAGAACTGGACAAGGAATCAGGCCTCCTGGGTCATATTTCTGGCTCCCACTATCTAGCTTTGTGTCTGTGGGGAAGTCACATCTCTGTGCCTGTTTTCCTTTCTGTAAAGTAGGGATAAACAATAATTTCACACTTCCCTGTGATGTTGGGAGGCTTAATTAATTAATATTTGTAAAGGACTAGGATATCCCGAGATGAACGATGCTGTATGGTGCAAAGTACCATTTTTTATATCTGACCCATAATATAGTATCCTTGATTTCTAAGTATCTGATTGAGACAGTGGTTAAGTTGAGAGCGAGCTGGCTGAGGCTTAACAGACAAGATGGCAGTGATACTAGTAAAACAATTTTTCAGTCCAGAAGGATACATTGCATAACCCCAGCTCTAATGAAATAGAAAAATAAGAAGACTTGCTCTCGCAGCCATAAGCCAAGTCCAGGGCATCGGAGCAGCTGTCTGAAGATTCCAGGCACCCAAATTTGGCGCCAATAGCCGATCAACACCCTCTCTGCTACAGCTGTGGCTGTTCTACAGTTCATTTTGATTTATGACATTTTAAAATTACCAGACGCAACCTACAAGAGGGAAAAAGGGATTTGAATTCATGATGGGCCTGAGACGCAACATTTGGATTTGAATTTTGAACCCCCAAAGATAAGAGGAGATGGTGTGCTCAGATCTAAGGTTTTGACTTAGCCCATAACTGACATAAAGTATATCTACAAAGCAGTTAAACATCCATAACAGGCCTGGGTCAGCTGACTTGGGCTCATGGGGCTCGGGCTGCAGGGCTAAAAAATGCTATGTCAACACTTGGGCTTGGGCTGGACGTCTACACTGCAATTTGTTTAGCTCCCCAGCCTGAGCCCCAGTCAACTGACCCAGGCCAGCTGTGGCCATGCTGCAGGTCTTTCATTGCAGTGTAGATGTAGCAATAGGGGCCAGCTGTCAAGTTCAGCTCCAGCTTCGTAATGCCAAGCCATATTAAGATCAAGATTTTACTGAGCTAAAATCACGTGGCTTGGCATTCTGAACAACCCTAGCTCTGAATACACCATCTACTCTGAGCTATGGGTCTTCAAAATTTAGATCAAATGTTGCAGCTCAGACCCCTCTTTAATTCAGATCCCCTTTTCCCCTTCTTGGGTTGCATCTGGTCATTTCAAAATTGATGGATTCATCCTGTTAGGCTATGTCTACACTAGCACTTTTGTCGGTCAGGGGTGTGAAAAAACAAACTCCTGGCCAACAAAAGTTTCACTGACAAAAACATTGGTGTGGACAATGCTATGATGGGGGAGAGCATCTCCTGCTGACATAGCTATTGCCTCTTGTTGGGGATGGTTATATGCTGGCAGGAGAGCTCTAGTCATAGACTATGACCCCAGTGTGCCAGTCACTATACAAACAGAACAAAAGGATGGTCCCTGCCCCCACATTTCCCTTGTCCTTTCCTTAACAAAATCTAATATCTTGATTGCTGCTTTGCCCACTGCTGCAAATTGAACATATGTTTTCATTGAGCAGAGCTGTCCATATACATAGAATGTTTGCACACACCTGAATTGCAGCTAATTACAACAGTGAAGGAACACAATCAAACAAACAAACAAACAAAAATCTTTCATCTCTAGACTATTTTGATATCAAATAGAGCACGCTGAAGGACATTTCAGACTTTTTTTATAGGCGATAATCAAACATGAAAAGTATTTTCCACATCTATACTCAACCACTTGTTGCCTCTTCTTGTGCTATTAACTGGATGCTTCATATACAAGTTGTTACTGTTAGTCTGATGTATTTTGAAGAAAAATAACTGCTTCATGTTTAAATATTTGATGTATTTCAGAGAGTAAGTGCTCAGGAAGTATTAAATTAAAAACACTAAGAGAATGAGGAGGACCAGCCAGGGATTGGCAACCTTTGGCACACAGCCCAGCAGGGAAAGCTGCTGACGGGATGGGATGGTTTGTTTACCTGCAACATCCACAGGTTCAGCAGATCGCAGTTCCCGCGGTTCGCCGTCCCAGGCCAATGGGGGCTGCGAGAAGCGGTGCGGGCTGAGGGATGTGCCGGCCGCCGCTTCCCATAGCCCCTATTGGCCTGAGACGGCGACCTGCGACCAGTGGGAGCTGTGATCGACCAAACCTGTGTACAGTGCAGGTAAACAAACTGTCCCGGCCCATCAGCGGCTTTTCCTGACAGGCCATGTGCCAAAGGTTGCAGATCCCTGAGCTATGCTGACGTGGATACATATTTTAAAGAATGTTTGTTTCTTTCACAGAAGGTGACAAACACACCAGGTCTGCATATGCGATGATAAGTGTTTATGTTACTTATGTTGAATGTAGTCCATCACTTTCAGCCTATTATATATTAGTGAGAAATGAGGAACCACTGAACGTTAAATTAAGAAAGATGTGAAATATGCTTATGTAGAAAAACAGAAAGGTCGTGTTTTTCTAACATTATGTAAAGAGAATTTTTTTTCATAGTGGGCTTGATCCAAAGTTCACTGAAATTAATGGAAAGCCTCCTACTGGCTTATATGGGCTTTGGATCAGACCTTTAGGAACATGCATAAAGTTAAGCACATGCTTAAGTGCCTTGCTAAATGAGGTGCTTAATGAGTTTTATTTTGCCTTATGCATATTGTTTACCACACATGAATAAAAATCCAATCACAAAAACATTCTATTCCGTGTTCTGATTGCTTTTCTATTTAAGAACATGAACTATATAATTGGCATTCACTACAATATCTATTGCAGTTTGAATATTTAAGGTGAAATCCTGGCTCCATAGAGATCAATGAAAATTTTGCCTTTGGCTTCAATGCTGCCAGGATTTCCCCCCTACAGTTTAGAAACAGGGGCCTGATCATGATCTTACATCACTTTACATTTGTGTAAGTCCACTGACTTCAATGGAATTACTCCTGATTTATGAGTTTCAGTGAGATTCCTTGCCTTACCTATACATGACATGCAAAAAATAGATTCATACTATACTAAATTACAAAATGAGACAGGTAATAAAACTGTTTTTGAAATAAACCACTCATATTGTGTTTCATTTTTAAATAATGTGATTATAACTTGCATTTATATGTTTAAGATGAGGAAGCTTAAAGATTTTGAAACTATGGATGGGCATTGCAAATGAAATGTGGGTTCAAGATAACTATAATCTTAATTATCAGAGATAACACAGACAAAAGTATAGATAACAACGAACCGTGGATGAGGATTTTCTTCTTTCTTCACCCCAGATTTTTCTCCATATGGTCTTGCTGTCCTAGCAGTAGCAGTTAAACTTCATTTTCCTGCCCGCTCTTCAACATAATCAAACCATCAAGGCTATCAGGTTCCAGGTTACCTTGCAGAACACATATTTCTCCATATATCTCATTATTATAAAAGACTGTAGACTTTCATCTGTTGTCTGCAGGAACATCTGATGCTGACCTACAATTGCAACTGACAGATTTCCCTTTTATAAAACTCATTTTGGACCTTTGGCTGCTCTCACTTGGAGTTTTGTCATTGACTTCAGTGGACGCAGGATCAGGATTTTAATATTACCCTGCATAGAGTTCCTAATATGTTCAGAGATTCCAAGGCCAGAATGGACCATTGTTATCATCTCATCTGACCTCCTTTATAACACAGGTCATGGATCATCCCCTAAATAATTCCTAGAGTGTATCTTTTAGAAGAACATCCTCTCTTGATTTAAAAGTTGTAAGTGATGGAGAATCTATCATGATCTTGGTAAATTGTTCCAGTGGTTAATTACTCTTATCATTAAAAATTTACACTTTATTTCCAGTCTGAATTTGTCTAGCTTCAACTTCCAGTCATTGGATCATGTTATACCTTTCTCTGCTAGATTGAAGTACCCATTATTAAATATTTGTTCCCCATGTAGGTATTTACAAACTGTAATCCCCGTAACCTGAGCCACTTAACCTTCTCTTTGTTAAAATAAATAGATTGAGCTCGTTGAGTCTATCACTATAAGGCATGTTTTCCAATCCGTTAATCATTCTTGTGGCTCTATTCTGAACCCTCTCCAATTTATCAACATGTTCTAAGTTATAAGCATTTATGTACCTACCTCTGGGAGTAGCTATTTTCTTGTCAACCCCTTTTGAGTAATACAAAGATTAAGAAAACCAGGAGACCACCAGACAGACAAAGAATCAAATGCCACTTATAAATTCACTCTTTGTTATGAAATATTGAATGACCAGTATGTAGAAAAATCACTGTATTTTTGTTGTTGGAGATTTCATACAACTTAAATTTTACAGATACATAACCTAAAAATATAAGATTTTTTTTTCTGCATTCGTTCTAGTTTTCTTTCTTTTCTAAACATTTTCAAGTGGTTAGCCACAACAGAGCTCCTGCTATGTCTGCACAATGTAATCCGGGAAGCTAGAAAAGCAGGAGGAAATAACCTTAGTCCTCATACTTGTATTGTAAGCATTTTACTAAATAGGTAGTTGTTGATCTGCAGTCCAGGTAGAAAAGGTAAGAGATTTCATATTTATTTATGGGAGAAAAGAGGGGAGTTGTTTAGGTTTTCTTTTTTATGAATATTTTTAAAAATAATTATCCCCATCTGTTTAAAAAGGAATTAATGACATTCCCGAATCCCTAGCCTCCAAAAAGTCAGACTCACTGTTTGCATCTTTACATTTATTCTTGATAGAGCATCGCTTTAGTATTTTTTCACAATCTTCAACAATTTCCCCTGTCATTTTGAAAACATGATTTTTTGTGAGCCATTGTAATAAATTATTTCATCAAAGTTCTCTGTAAAAAATTAAAGATAGTATTAGTTGCTTAACTAAACTTGCTATAATAATACAATATTTAATATATTATTACAATTTACATCTTTTAAATATTTTTTTTCTGACTGGAACACGTAGCCCTCTTTTAATGCTAAGAATCATAAGACATTCCATATAGTTAAAACCACTGTCGCCATTTTAGCCCATTTCAAACAAAAACCCAGTCCTTAACTTTGACAAAAAAAGAAAAAGAAAGAAAAGAAAAAAGGAAACAAGAATAAACACACTGCTTTTAATATGAGCTTTCAGTTTCACACAACTTGGGAATAACAGAAGAGTAGAATAATTTTAATTGCAAATCCTTTAACATCAGCATGTAATTTGTAGCTGCATAGTTCAATATGACTCTTGAAAAGACTAAAAAGCTGGGTTTAAAAAAAATCCCCAAAAACAAAAAAGCAGCTTTGCAAAACTACATAAAGGGTGTCTTTAACAGGTTAAAAAAATTGCAATTAAAAAAAAAATCCTAAATTTTTATTTTCACTTGTACCAGTGAAAATATTTTAGAATCTTTTCAATATTTTTTCTTTTGTATTTATAATCCTGTGTAAGTTTTTGCATATTCAAACCCTGAATGAAGCCTGTTAGATTTCAGAAAAAAAAGGTGTATCAAATCAAGCTCAAAGCTTTGGCTCAATGTAACCTTTGCATAGAGCTGCAGCTAATTATTAGACCCACCACTTGGACAAACCTTTGAAATATTGTATTCTTTCTGTTGTGCACCTGCTTACTTATCTTCTTATCATGCAAGTGCTCAGAAGGTGTTTGGGCCTGATCCAGAGGTCCTTGAAATCAATGGGAAAATTTACATTGAATTCAGTGGGCTTTGGACCATGCCATTAATCCTGGCCCTATTGAAGTCAAACGCAAGAGTCCCATTGACTTCAATGGGACTTGGATTACAGAGGGAGAGGAAAAAATGAAAAGACAAAATCATAAAATTTTCAAACTTCAAAAAGTTCAAAATCTTTTTTGCAAGCACAGCAGCCATGATGGTTGCTGAAATATAAAGTAGAAGAACATTACTTTTTTTAAAATTACTTTATTTTTCAGAGGGCTATTAAGGCTAAAGCATGTTCCAGACCAGGCAGCTGACTCTGTCAGAGACAGAAAAAGAAAAGAAAAGAAGACAGGAGAAAGGAAAAAAACAGTCTAGTTGAATTATTTTTAACCACCTTCTTCTCCAAAGTATCATTATTTCAGTATGGGCCTGCCCCTGTGGGGTGCTATGTACTCTCAACACTCAATTAAGTAATGACAGTTAAAAGTAGTCAGCACCACACAGGACTGAGCCCTATTTGCAGTATTCCCAATATAATATATAGAGAATTCTGTAATATTGAGATAATGCTATCTAATTATGGAACATGTGACCATATTACATGCGGCGAACTCCCTGTTGGAAGAGTTTGGTGTTTGAGGAAAGCAGAAGACTCTTAAGATAGGAACTGTTAGTGACATTCCCACCCACATGCTGAGGACCTGTACAAGGCCTACGTGCCACCTAAATCCCATTTAAGACTTATAGTGTGGTCTTAGGTCCCAAATCAGCAAAATACTTAAAATATGTCTAACTTTAAGCATGAGAATCCCAATGATATCTTAAGTGGGGCCTTAAACGAGACTTAAGATGCGCAGAGGCCTAGTACTGGTCCTCTGCACAAGGAGGAAGTTCACCCTGTGTGAGTCATAGAGAGGGGGTTAGTCTTGGGAGAGTGAGAGAGACTGGGAACTCAGACTGATGCACAAAACAGCACTTTGAATCCTCTCACTTCTGGTTCTTCATTAACACTCTCTGGGCTGCTGACATTCTCATAAACTGAATGGAATATTAGGCCAATGTTCAGCAAAAGTCAAGGTTTAAAGTGAAAGACTCGAAAAAATTTGAAAGAAGCTAAGATGAGAGAGGAGCATGGAATGAGCATCAAAGTGTTCATTAAGAAAACCCTGCAAACTCACATTTTATTTTCACATTATAAAATAGTTATATGTCCCCAAAATTCTCCTTTTCAATACACATTCCATAGTGTGACTATGAATCAGAGAGAAGAATGTCACCCTATATGTTACCTTTTTACCCACTGGCTTTTTTTTAACATACAGTATGCCTGTATGCTGAACACTCTTGGAAACCTTATATTTATATCTATATATAGATATTTATATTCATATACAGATCCATATCAATATATGCATCTATCTGCCTATTGACGTACTGTATATTTTTAAAGAAACCTAGTTTGCTTGCCAGATGGGTTTCCCCAGGTTGTCCCTGCTCTGTATTTGTTTTTTATACCATCATACACTATAGGTTTTTTCACATATACAGACCAGTCTTAATAATTAACAACAATGCTGGAAAATTCAGAAGTGTCTAATTCAAGCCTTTGCTCAGGGTTTTGTTGTTGTTTTTTGAAAATTCTTGCAAGTAAAAACCACAAATTGTATTTATTTAGGCTTTATCCCAAGGCTACTAATATTAACCACCATATCACCATTACCAAATATCCAACTGATACATCCCACTCACATTCACTTTCCAAACTTCCAAAATCTCTTGCTACCTCAGAACTGCTGTTTAATTTCCTCTCAGTAACAGAGAAATTTCTGTTAGTCTGTGCTCCATGCAGTGGATTTAGTTTTGAAATGAGCTTGCTACCAAACTAATAAAGAAAATGGAACCATTCACAGTATACCATTTATCGATATATAATTAAGTGTTAGTCCATTAGGGACCAATCCTGCAGTCTTTATTTAGGCACATTGCTGGAGTAAAGACTACATGATCAGAAATTTAGACCCAGACTCTGCAATGAGCTCTCAGTGGATAGACCCTGTGCCCTCATGGATTTCCAGTGAAGTCAATGGGGCTCCAAGAAGAGCCAGAGTTCCATCTACAAAGAGTTCACTGAAGGGCTGGGCATTTTTAAGATATACAGTGAAACCTGCAGTGAGGAACACCTCCAGTGAGACCCTCCCCAGCCATTTCAATTTCTCTCTAAGGTTTCTAGTATAATTTTGTTTGACCTTTAATTAACTACCTCTGCTAGGCAAATTATTTTTGCTTGCGCTTTGGGTAGTCACTTAAGACAGGTTTCACTGTGTACATGCACGCGTGTGTGGTGTCTTCAGTTACAATGATAAGCAGATGTGCTTTCTGCTTCAATGCAATACTTAGGGCAAGGCCATTCACAATATATAGATACATAGAAAGCAGGAAGACAAAGTCCTTATCCCTCCACTTTGTAATAACAAATATAATTATATTGATTAGGTGTTGAGACCAACACCAGATACCCAATGAAACCTGCCATCTCTACTATTTGGTATACAGCTCTTTGTTCCCCTGTTTTATTAGATGAAAACTACTGTTTGACCACTCATGATGGAATTTCTTGAAAACCCATTTTTGGTGTATCTTTATTGTTCCACCGATTTATTGGCAGTCAATGGCTCTGTTTCATCAATTATGGAGCTAATCCTTTATTCTACATTTGTTTTTGTCGTTAAGTTATGGCGTGCAGAAGGACAGCCTTCACCTGCTATATTTGCAAAAAATGGATGCTGGCTCTTTAATGAAAGAAAAAGTCAGTATAACATATTACCAAATGTAAATGCAATAAGGAATAACATATAGCTCTGGTTATGTTATATGACATTTGGTTGAGCAGTATTAACATATTGCACAAACTGTGAATTTTCCCTATTGCAGAAAATAAGACAATAAAAGACATGGGGAAAATCTGTTCCATATGACTGCAAAATAAATATTATTCTAGTCTTTCTTTCTTCTTTTTTTTTGTCACTTGCTTGAAGAATTATTTTAGTGTTATCTTTTCTTTTTTAAGCCAGTTCTTTATCATGTATGTAATAGGCATACAGTACAAGGAGAAATGGAACAAGATGGCAGTTACAGCAGTGGCAAGATGCAAATTTATTCTGGCAAAAAAAGTAAGATGTGCACAATATCAAGCATGCTTAAGCTTGTGCCAGGAAAACTATTACGAAGGAGGAGTGGACAAAATGAAATTTTGCATCATACATGATTACGTGTTGCTTAACTTCATAAAAGAGTCTTTGTCTACTTGTGATTTCCTAGTTGTCACCAAGAGAAGCTTCAGACCACACTGCTGGAGTGGAAATACCTTGTTGGAATGGTAACAAATATCACAGCAGTAGTCACCCCAAGAACATGATTATTTTTTTTTAAACAAAAGAAATAGAAAAGAAGAAAAAAGACAGAGAGAATTCACAGACCATTTAACTGCAGGCACTAACTCGGGGTGGGGATAAGGGGAGTATTTTATTACATTTTATACTTAATGATTAAGACTCTGTAATTGCTTCCTGCTCTGTTTTACCCAACTTTAATTTGGCTGTTTTATGCATGTGATGATGTCACCACTGTTTTTTCTCAGCTGTCTTTCTCCCCATATTGTATGACATATGTTACTGAGTGTAGCCAAGCAGTGGAGGAGTCATCTTTCTCACTGACACCAGTTGAAAACACCTTTAAAGAAAAACTAAAGGGGAGAGAGAGACAGAGAGGGAGGAAATAATATTTCTTAGAGATAATTTGTCACATTAGGTTACCATGAGGAAAAATAGGGTTCAGTGAGTAGAAATGGTAACTCTTCTTTATATGCCAGTTTATTGGGGATGAACAGGACTTGCTACTGTACTGGTGCAGTGTAAAAATAGATGAAAATGAACTATGGTGTGAACAAAAATATGAAGAACATCACAGAAATAGATGTTGAATGGCCTTTGCACAGCAGAGGTAGATAAAGGTTATAACAAACTGTTTACTGACCATGTACACTTAATATAATTAAGAGGTCAGTTGAACAAGAGCTCACCTAGTAAGTGCCTTCTCAGTAATGTGACTCATAAGCTATCATACAGTACCACAGCACTGTCCAGTTATTGCTCCACTACTTTTCAGGAATATTCCCATCCTCTTCGTAATCTACATTCTACCATTAGTTAAGGCTTTTTCATTTTCATTTCTACACTTTTTTCCACAGTTTGCATCTGTTCAATGCAATTAACACATGTGCCCCTAGCAAAAAAAAGCACCATGTTTTACTGAATGGAATATATTGTGTAGGGGGAACGGAACAGGTTATGGAAACACAAATGAGCTGAAGAATTTTGCATTTTTTGGTGCTTTTTTGTATTTGCACAGATCATTTTAGGATCCTCAGTCCCAGTAATAGTAAAACACTATCAAACGAAATACTCTTGCAAAATATTTGAGCTTTTACATCTTAACAAATGCATTTTAAGCTGCTTAAGCAGTAGGGTTTCCTTCGCCCCCCTCCCCCGCAGAATTTCACAAACCATAAAATGTGAATTAAAAAATATTCCATACTTAAGTAGCAGTGATTAAATGCTCTTATAATGGAAAAAATTATCAAGGGATATTTCAAAGCTAGAAAGTAGGTAACTAAACTTTATTTGCTAAGAGAACATTTCCTATAGTTTTCCTTCATTTCCCAGCTACACAGCAAACATCTCTAAAGTGCACTTCCCAAGTGTAGTTAGAGAATAGGAAGGAATGTAAAATGTTTAAAAACAGCCCTTATTAACTTTTCCTTCCATTGATTCTATTGTAAACTCTAAAAAGCCTTTTTATAAAGCAAATACTCATACACTCAGCGGGTAAAATGTTCCCACACACACACAAAAAAAAAAAAAGCAATGGAAAAGGCAATCAGATTACTCTTCTTTCCCTTGATTACTGATAGCCTGGTGTGTTCTTTGCTGTTTCATCGCATACTTATGAAAATGGTTGACCTATTTATTAAAAAACCCATGTTCTTCAGCTGTGCTAACACATCACGTGGCATCCTTAATAACTCTAATACCTTTCAGCAACACGCAGCTTGTTAGAAAAGCAATGGATTCAAGACTGAACACACGGCAGGTACTGTTGGTGCTCAAATGCTTCTACTGGAGCTGTGTCAGAACAAAAAGGCTTCTTTTTTTCCTGAATCCCTTTGCTCCTGGACACTCTGAACCTTTGCTGGGTATGTGACTGCCGTGGAACTGAAAACGTAATTCACAACGAATGGCGATCCTTTACCTCCAGTAGGAGGAAGGCCTCCCAACTATTCAACTCGCTGAGCTTAACTGGTCTCCCATATGCTATCTAGAAAGGCTACTCCTGTTCAACTGACCAGCGAGCAAAGGACTGGACTTCTTCTTTCAAACGGGAAGTGGAGCAACAGTTTGTTATGGATTCCCATACCTAAACATTTGTTACCCGTCCGATCCCGCCTTGTAAGGAGAGCACTTGTTTGTTCAGCTAAAAGGAACCCCCCTCATGCTCCGGGTGGGCTTGCTCAGTCAGCTGGTTTGTGCAACAGTGGCAGAGGGACACCAGAATAATGTGTACCCCATTCATTGTGATTACACAGACAGAAGCAAGTGGATGTTGTCTGCTTAAGGGAGATGGGAGAGGGGGAAGGAAGAATGTTTTCCATGGTGGAAAGGACAGTTAGGTTGGTGGTGGGGGTATGTGTGTGTGTTTTTTTGTAATTTTTTTGTGTGTTTTTGTTGTTGTTGTTTTTTTAAATTTGTTTTTGTTGGTTTTTTTTTTTTTTTTTTTTGTTATGCCATGGAATCACAGCAGTCATTCCTCTAGTAGAAACTGACAGGACATAAAAGACAGAACTATCAGATGAACATACACAATGAATAGAAATATATCGACAGTGAAAAGACTTAAGTTTAGCTTTGAGAAACCGTCCCAAAAATAAAATCCTGTATTAACAAGTGCAAAAAACAAACAAAAAAAGAAACTCCAAACATTAAAACACAGTGTATAAAATGGTGTGAGAAATTTAAGTCACCATATAGCCTTTTAGTCAATAAAAAGCTTGTGTTCATGTGTCCTTGTTTGGATTGTTGCCCATCCTTTTAATTTTACCCAGAAGGCCTTTCAAGAAGTGAATTGAGGGTAAAAGCACCCAGTCTCTGTTATATTTGACTGTAGTACACATGGGCCTGTTGTGTGTCTATCGTTTGACATGTATCCTTTCTTTTAATCCTCGTTAGTTGAATTATCTTCCAAAGTTGTTATGCCTCCAAAGCCCAGTCCTGTTGAGTTCTGTGCTGCTGAGACTGTAAGTACTGTATGCAAGAGAATTAATACAAGAACACACAGTTTAAGTCTGCTGTTACACAGTCTTGATGCTGATGAAACTGTGAGCGATGTCCTGTGACACATCGATGAGTCACTTGTTTTTATAGTCCCTTTGGATTGATTATCTGGTAATAGTCCCCATCTGACATCACAGCATTCTGGTTCTGCATTGGTTGGATAATTTTCATAGAGCCCTGTAGGATAAATACAACAGAAAATTAATTTCATTAACAGACTGAATGGCAGAAGTTGGTAGTTCTCAGAAATGAACTTCTCTAGACGAAGCCGTCCCAGGTCTGAGCGTAAGTTCGGGGCTCATGTAGTTCTTGCCTTCCTGGGTCATTAGAGTTGTTGAGGTAATACTTTTAGTCTATCAAAGGGGAGAATCAAAGAACTAGCAGCCAAACAATATTTTTATAAAAGTATGGAATTGAGTGTCATTCTGGAAAAATGTGGGTTACAGTGAAAAAGCAATAACTCAAGTATACCAGTCAGAATAACCTAACATTTAAAGTCCCTTCCTTGGGGTACTGATAAATCTATTCCTAAGGATGGGTTTGTGTTAATGAGGGAGTTCTCAAACTTTGGACCCCCTTTCCACAAAACATTAATTCTATAAACCATTTTGAAAGTTCTTATTGAACAATGAACGTGTCCTAATAATATCACGGTGAGTGGGAAGGTAGACATTAAAGGCCAAATCTTCAGCTGGTGTAAACTGGTGCGTAACACTTCACCACAAAACTTTCTAAACCCATCAGCTTTCAATTGTTCCCCATCCACTTTCAGATCCTACCCCAACAAGATCCTCTGATTCGGTTCTTCTTTTCTTAACACTGCCGAAAGGGAAACAAAAAAAGAACATAGTCACTGGATCTCCTGAAATTTCTTGCTAGATAACTAGGCCTTCACTTTGAACTGGTCTGGACTAATCAATTTGACATAATTTGTGTATTTTGGAATAATTATTTCTATATTTCTGACATTATTATAGATTAGATCAGAAATGTCATAGTGTGCTATTTACTTCCCACAAATCTGCTTTACAGAAGAGTCAAGAGAACACAGTTCAGAGTTGGCATTACAAGTCCAAGAATGTCTAATGAATGATCAGAGATCTTTTCTTGATTTAAAATCATGTTGTAATAAAACATTTCGTTCAGCATTATATCAGCAATTCACACACATGACAGCTTGAGGTATTGCTAGAAATTAACTTACCAGTAATGAAGTATTAGGATCAGGCCCTTCTGAAGGGCTAAACCACTGTTATTGTTTATAGATTAAACTATCTTCTAGAAAAATGTTTGTTTTATCTAAAAAATACTGCCAATTACACAGCGTCCCTCGGGAACTAGCAGATAGACGTGTAGGCGTATCTTAATGTGCTCAGGCCCAAACTTTATACTGTTGGCATTTCATTAACTCCTTGTACAGAAGAAATTAGCACAGCATAACATAAGATAAAACCTAGCCCTTTCAGCCAATATTTCTATGGTATAGATATGCTACTAAACAGAAGAGTTTACTCAATGCACTGGTAAATATAAATTAAATCTGAGGTGGCATATTTTATATTCACATCCAAGTAAACAGTGCGATAGTGTGTTATGTTAAAAAGCGGGTCTGCATTTATCTGTGTTTTTAAAGCTTCTTTGAACTCTTTGGAAACTAGAATAGGCTCTTGGCTTTCCTGTAGTGCTCCCACTCAGGATTTGCTCCATAAGTGTTCAGCAGTCCACTTCTCTAGTTGCCTAAAATGTGGAGTCAGGTGCTTACCTATGGTTACCCGGATTTGAAAATTTTGCATTCTTACCTTTATCAGCACCACTCATGTTTAATGTTTTCTTAAGATACTCTGCTGTGGAAACACGTCAGTATTTTTTCTTGCCTATACTAAGAAACAGTCTCATTTTTAACTTTAGGTATTCTGTGATCATTCTATGGCATACATAAGTTAATATTGATAAAAAATCTTTGGTAACTGTACTTCTATAAAGAAAATACCTTAAAATGGAGGAAATTATGAAAACAGCTCTGTACCTGCAATAGCTCAAACTATTAGCTGTAATTGAAGAGACACAGAATATTGTTCATGCTTTGATCCCACTGCTGCTTGTTTACCGTTCCAACTATATTTCCTGACTTTCTTGTTTTTGGAAAACACAGACTTCCTTTGAAACCAAAGGCCATTTATACAAGTTAGCCATCAAAAAGATATTTAAATACTTCATGAACACTACAAGTACATTGGTAGAAGCAACTCCATAAGTGGCATTGGTTTTTTTTCCCTAACAATTAAAATTCTTCTCTTCCTCAATTCAGCAATTTAACTTAGTCTCTGCATGTACAGTGACATATTTAATAATTTATTAATTCCAGAATTACATCTAAATTGAATAACAATTAAATTTTCTATACTATTTAGATAATCTAGCCACCAACTTTCCCAGCGAAAACAATGAAAGATCACTACAGATTTTTTGACCCTAAGTATCACTTTTGGTTTCGTGTAGCTAAATTACCATAGCCATACTCTCTACAAATTCTAAAGTTTATACACATTTGAATCACCATGACACCTGTCAGACTGGCCGCATTTGAAACTGTAAAACTGAACAGAAAAAAGATATTTCCCTTATTCATCACTGCATTTTATATCTGTACCAAGAGAAGCCAATCTACCTTATGGAATCCAATATGTGCTTCCATTTTTTGACACAACCTCCCTGGGTGCACAGCTTCCTCTCTGCCTTTGTCACTTACATACATAGTTCCTTACCCCATCCCTCGCTCTATCTGCCTTTGGAGTTTTGCCCCCATTCCCACTTTCAGGGGCCTCCCAAAGTTCACCAGCAGGAGTTTTAGTCTGAGGAAACTGCTAAGGTTCACTAATTTTCAACATAATACCGGCCTCTCCGCACCTGCAATTCCTGAAAAGGTACATCTGAAAGCAAACTCTTAGCTATAACCACATCATTTTCCACAAACAAATGGCACATGATAGACTTCAGCATTGCACATATATCTGTAGGGAATATAACTAACTATAGCTGAGGTCAGCATTAAGGATGGATATTTTAATGTGATTAGGTTAATGGAGATTTTAGTGTGATTAAATTAAATGTGTTCAGTTTTAACTGAGTCAAGTTAAAAAGGAATTATAAGCTACTACACTTTACAAAGAAAGAGCTACGGGGAGACAAACAAGAGGTATAAAATGCGTTCACATACAGAATTTGAAGTCATTTGGGACAATGTTCCCTCAATTCCTTTCAGTAGGAGTTGTGGGTGCACATCATCTCTCATGATTTGGTCCTCACAATTTTACTTGTATATATTTTTGAAAGCCAAAGGTTTTGAAAATCAGGTTTTTTTTTCAATAAAGTTTTTTCTGTCTAACCACAAACTATGTTTTCTTCAGGACTTCTAATCCCAATCTGAGGGACAGACAAAACCTGCTCTGCCTAAAGAAGGTACGCCCAAAAATAAGAGGTAACTGCAGGGCCAGGTGGAGTAAGTCAGGAATGTAGCCTGAGCAATTTTGCTGTGAAGCACAGGGCAAATAATGGCTCCAGGAGTGAAACATCCAAAGGTGACATCACTGCATCAGACAATGCCAGCACTTAGAGTAACATTTCCCCTTTCAGAGCAATTAATTCTGGTAAATATAGGTAGGTAAAGTAGAGAACTAGACATACCTCTTTCTTTACAATGCACTTGGACATCTTTATAGAGAAAGGTCTGAACTAAAACACCAAAACTTTTGATCTAAACTTTGTGACCTTCGGCCCTAATTCCATGTCCTAAGCAAACAAACTAATTATTCTCAGAAAATGAGATGTTTATTGCCTGCAGCTTTGTTAAGCACATATAAGGCCTGATTCTTCTACATTTATGCCAGTGAACATCCACTCATGCAAGTATTCTGACCGCAGGAGGACTACTCACAGAAATGCTCACTGCTGTGAGAAAGGGTTGCACAATCTGAGTTCTTAGTGAAAAAGTAACAGATTCAAGAATATATGGAAAGGATTCAGGAAAACATTAAAAAACAGCATCTAATAAACTACAGCAACAGTTTGGACTTTAAGAGTCCCCTGTCACACTGCACCTAAATAAACTTCCACATACAGTGTCACTGCAGGATGATACATGAACTGGTATTTAAATTAAATTTCTGTGGATAGTATTTGTACTATCAAGCATGTCCACTGGCCCGAATGGACAGAAAAGAATAATCTGCAATCTGTGGCTCAGATAACCCGTCACAATGGGTAGGATTAGATATCTAGAATGTACGCCTCTATCTTTTTAGCCTGGTGATGGCTATACTAGCATTTTCTTAAAATGGAATGAGAGAGAATGGAAAAGATTTTAAGCGCTTGCTTAAATTCGGTCTGGAAGTCAGCTTTCCTTGATTTTATCCAGATGGTCTTCTACATTTCCCGATTGCTGTGTCTGCGATACACTAATGCTTCTGTCTGGATATACATTTTATAATCTGAACTATACAAAATGTAATAAAATGAAATGTAAACCAAATCTTTTTTTAAAACAAAGTTAGTCTTCCTTCAGACAGATTATTTTTAAACCAATGAAGAAGTTGTTTTCCTGTTCTAAGAACTAATTTGCCTTTCAAGATTCCATTCAAACTACAAGCTTGATGAAGTTTTGTTTGTTTGTTTTTTAATTTGCCAATGGATCGAGGAGTCTGGCAGGCTGTTTCAGGCAGTTGTCCCTGGGACATTTTTCCTTTGTGTGTGTGTGCTGGGAGAAGGGAATGAACACACTGTTATTCTATGCAATACTTACACCATTTTTATAAAAAAACATATCAGGCCAGATTCTTTGATGGTGTAAATCAGTGTGGCACCACTACAGTCATGGAGCTTCAGTGATTCATAACAGCTAAAGGTCTGTCCCCAAAAGCTATGTAATAAACTAATTTTTACTTTCCTTTTTGGTGCACCTTGTGCTGAGAAAAGAGGAGGAGGAATACATAGCCTGCTTCTAACCCAAATCAGGCTAGAACACAATCATTGGTAAAAGGTATTTAGCATTGGTGAGTGTATTGTAGAAAGGGTAAATGTGATACACATTTGAAAAAAACAACTTACATACTGTAATATTGCTGTGCAGTTTCTGGACATCACAGAAGCCCACATCCTAACTTACTATGATTCGAGAAAAG